AAAAAAAAAAAAAAAAAACAAACAAACAAAGAAAACAAATCTGAAAGCATTTTTACAAGCCATGTTAAATTTGTAAGCCAATTGGAAATTAAAAGCAGCTTAGAAATGACAAAAGTTAGGTAAATGTAATACATTCAAAGTAATAAAAGGCATCAGTTGAGAAAGCAGATCAAATCTAAGTACAATACTCACATACACACACACACACACACACACACACACATACATATACACACACAGACAGAAGCAGACACACGTTACTTTATGAACATAAAAGCAAATTAAATGAAAAAGTATATAAAAATAAATTATGCTAAAGAGAACAACTTACAAAAATACAACTAAAAATACAAGCGATGAATTTTTATTCAGCAAAGGCCATAGCTGGGCACGACGACTTAAATGGAACTACAGTGGGCTCTCGGTTAGCGAGCGCCTCGGATAACGACCATTTCGCATAAGGTAATGTTTCGCATAACGAATAATTTTTCGCATAACGACCAAAAATAAATTTGAGAAAATTTATTGTACGCTAAATTTCTGTCTGTGTTAGACAACGCAATTGGGGAAACCCCGAATACACCTTATAGTGCTGTCCATTGACCTTTTTAGCATTTATTGGTACTATTTCGCATGCAATTTAGGAACAGGATGCTGGAACGAATTGAGTTCGTTAACCGAGGGCCTACTGTATATTAATTACTCTTTGCTTAGACCCTGAACCCATTGAAAGTAGCAAATCTAGGTATACTTGTTTACAGGCCTCAATAAGGACATCGTGTGACGAGTCGACATGGTCATGTCCGTCCGTTTATTCCTTCGTCTATGCCTTCCTCCGGATAAAAGATTTCAGAAAGTACAAGAGCTAAGAATTTTAAATTATAAATATAGACTCGTGTATACCTTGAATCCATTGAATACAGGAAATCAATAAGAGCTGGAAAAACAGTAATTCAATAAAAATTTCAACATTTTAACTACTTCATTAAGGACTAGGCCCAGCTCGGGGAAGGTCTAGCGTAATTTTACCACAAAATTGAGGCATTTGATATATTAGCTCCATACCTGCTTTAACTACATTTTGGATACTTACAGAGATTCAAGCTTTTTGTCAAGAGATTTTTCAGATTTTCCTATGGGAAATCCAAGCAAATCCGCGCTTAGTGAGATATATTTGTAGGCTAAGCTAGTGATTTCTGCTTAGCATGCTAATAATTTATTTAATTGCTCACATATAGAAACTTATTAGGTAAACTTAAGGCGTAGGGAACTCAGTAGTGGACGCAGTTCCAATCCGATTCCGATTTAACGTTTATTTACAGTGCAAGGTGAAGTTTTTTGGTTCGACGAGCCATGGACCAACCAACCCAAATGCGCTCGGGCCTCGGCCTTTCAGGCCAGCACAGACAGATTTCACTCGACGCAGCCGCTGAGCAGACGCGCCGCGCCCCACACTCGGCTTATCCATATCACATAGTGTTTATACATATATTCCTAGCTGTTCTCCCCCCGCGCACCCCTTCGTCTCTCAGGGACTCAGCTGGCTGCGCGCCCGCCGCAAGGCCTTCGCCTTGCCGCCCACTGGCGGCCGGTACGTGGGCAGCTCAATGAAAACGGGACGATACTCGGGCGCCTCGGGCCGCATGGAACGGGACTCCGAGTGCAGCATATTCGTGTAGTAGTTGAAGTCCCTCGGCTGCGTCTCGCTGCTGGCCACTGGCGCGGCGGCCGTGATGGGCTGCTGGGCGGCACGACCACGCGCTGCATCGGAGCGCAGCAGCCGGAATAGATTGCGGCGGGCCGCTTGGTCTGTGGACTCGGGGGAGTCGGAGCTGCGGCGCTGCTGCCTACTGCCGCTGCTGCTGCTGCTGTTGATGAAAGCGGACTCCTCGTAGCGCGGTATATAGCGAGGCTTGCGGGACTCGCCGACCCGCTCGTGCGGCGTCACATTGAAGCCGAAGAATCGCGGCGCCTGCACTGAGATGAGCGGCAGCAGCGTCTCCCGGGCGTAGCGCTCGGCCCGTTGCAGCAGTTCGCCTAGCCGGAAGGGCAGCAGCTGCACCGTTTGCGGCTCATCGGAGCCGCTCGACAGCTGAGCCATCATTTTGGGTACCGTAGCCACGGCTGGATTGGCCGAACTCGCTGGACTGATGGGACTGTCCGTCGAGCTGGCTGTGGCATTGCTATCCTCGGGCTCAGTCAGCTGCAGGTCCTTGCCGTGCTTGGTGCGCGGCGTGGTGGCCTTGAGCACCGGCTCGACAATCTCCCCGGCGCTGGCGTGTAGCTCATGCAGGTTGCGGCCACGGTTCACGGCCAGACGTCGGTCCTTGAGTACGGGCTCGAAAATCTCAGCGGCGGGCTGCTGACCGGGCGACAGGGCGTCGGACAGACTGCGACTCGACTCGGCTGCCTCGGCCTCATTGTTGTCCTTGTCCAGGGAATTGCCCACGAGTATGGGCTGCCAGGGCAGCTCATCGGTCTGGTCCAGCGGGTAGGTCTGATTCTCGGCCAGCTTGAAGCTGGTGCCCAGGTTGAAGATGTCCTTGCGCTGCTTGACGCTCTCGACACCGTCAACGCTGGCACTCAGACCCGTTTCCTGCACACTGGAGTCGGCCACGGGCGCGTCCGTGCTGGCAGACAACGAGGCCGGCGGCTGGGTGGTGGTATAGGCGCCATAGTCCTCCTGGTTGTCCAGCTCACAGTTGCCCGCCTGGAGGCGCATGCGCACGGGACTGCCGCTGCTCAGCTTGGTGCTGGGGCGGCACAGCGAGTGGCTGCGCCCGAAGCTGTCCGTCAGCACCACCTTGTCAATGTCCCAGTGGGGCAGGCCCTTCGACAGCCAGCCGCTGTAGGACTTGTAGTGCAGGCTCAACGTGGTGGGGAAGCCCAGCGCCGGATGCGGCACAATTATCTTGGATACAATGTCGCCGGCAAAGAACTCGGCATCGTCCTTCCTGCAAGTGCAAGGATTAAGTATTGCTTGCCAAATATGATCAGAGCCGTAGAGGCACAGCTGCTACTCACTCGGATATTTCGAAAGTCTCGTTGAGGCCGCCATCGCCCTCGAGTATGGCCTCCAGGCGGCCAATCGTGCGCAGGGGCAGATCGTTGAACGAGTTAAAGATCTGCAGCTGGAACTGATGCGCGCAGAAGGGCTCCTCCTCGCGTGTCAGCAGATAGAGCTGGCCGCGGCCCGTCGATCTGTCCGCGTAGTAGCCCATGTTGCCGCAGCGTGGCACGCCCTCGGCCAGATCCTCATCGTCCTGGGCGCACGGGAAGCACTTGCCCTTCAGAAAGTCGTCGTAGTTGGCGCAGGGAAAGGCGGGAAACATGCAGCGTGGTGCCACGGAGTCGATGAAGAACTTATAGGCGCGACGATGATTACAGAGCGAGCGCCCCTCCTCGTCCTCGGCCGCCTGGGCAGCTGTAAGTGAGAGGGAAGTTGAGCTAAACTCGAATGACTCGAATGAATGAAGTGAGCAGCTTACACCAAATGAAGTCCGTGACCGCGCCCACAAACAGATTGGAGCAGCCCGTCTGCACCCGCCCTCCGTTCGGATAGTAGTCCACGTGGCCCATGGGCTGCCAGGAGCCCAGGCCGCCCAATATAAGATTCTCGCCATTCGAGTGGATAACGTCGACGAACTCCGCATCGCTGCTGTCCAGCCGAACCTTCGGATGCTGCGCCTCGAACAGCGGCCCAGCCGGATCGAGGCCCGTGATGCGCGACAGGCCGGGCAGCTCGGCGCCCGCAAAACCGGAGACATGCGCCCCAAGGCTAAAGCCAATCACATGCGTGCGCATCAGATTGAGGCCCTTGTGCTGCTGCAGATTCCGGAGCAGCATCGCCAACTGCTTGCCCACCAGACGCGTGTTCGCCGCGGCACGCACGTAATTCGGAAAGGTGGCTCCGTTCTCCCAGTCCACGCAAATAACAATGCAATCCTCCTGTTCATAGTTGCACAAAGAGATTTGAGTGGTAGATATTAATATAAATGTTGGATATGTGAATTAAAATCGGCGTTTGCGAGATTCCGGATTGGACGTATCAATTGATAGAGTATTATAGAGAAAATACCATTACATTTTATGAGAATTGCATTGAAAGACGGTTATTAAAAAATAATAAGAAGAGGAAAACGAATGTAGAATACTCCAAAGCGGTATGAGAATCACGTTGAAAGGCAATTAATATGAAGGAATGTAAATAGAAAAGAAAGCGAATGAAATTATCTTGATTAACCAAGTCAGTGTCGGGACTTCAATAACAAAACTATTTTAATTTTGATCTCTTCTATAACCGTGGAAGATAGAGATTTTCCCCATGTTGCATGCCCTTAATGGGCATATACCTATTGTATATTACGTTTCCTCTCTTCGCAAAACAAGCTATATGCCAAATTTCAAATCTCTCGCAGCTCAAATATCATTTCTAGTATACCGCCCGATTGAGCGTATAGGGAATATCATAATATAGTAGAGTCCGGCTATAACGAATCTGCCTATAGCGTCTGTGTGCTACGAAAATTCTATTATATATGGTTACAGTGTATTCTGGGTATAACGACGGTCTCTTAAGCGTCATTATAATCGTATTCTACTGTATTCTAGTATATTTATATACCAAATACATATGTGGTACATATTCCATATTCCAGACGAATGGACATACTGACAGACGGCCGGACAGCCGAGTGGACGGACAGACGGACGTACACACGGACGGATAGACGCTAACCGGATGACAGGATAGCAAACTAAATTCTTCGAGCTGTGAACATGGAGCTCTCGATTTCCAGATCGTATTTGAAATAAGCCTTGCATCAGATATGAAGTATATGAAGACACAAAATTACGCCGTGATATGAGATCAATAATTCTCCAGCTTTCACGCGGTCAACTACTGCACAAATTTACATATATTTCTTTAAATATGTGTTAGTTACGATCCTGACTTACCACAGCCATCAGTGCCGTTTTCATTTCGTAGATCCAGACGTGGGGACAGGCCGATCCGAAGCCATGGACAATAACGCGCACGGAGAGCTCATCGAAGCCCTCGAGGTCATCGATGGAAGGCTGCGGCGGCTTCTTCGGGCTGCCACCCATGCCGGGCAGCTTCTCTGTGCTCGTGTTGAGGCCAGGCATCGAGGCTGTGCCCGCTGGGGCGCTCGTTGTGACCGTCGGAGCTGGCGGACTGTCGGACTCGCGCTTGGCCTTSGCCTTGGCAAACGCCGCCGTCATGTTCAAGAAGGACAACTCCATGAGCGGCCGATCCGAGCGCTGGCGCGTCGAGTAGAAATAGAACTTTGTGTTTATCTCCTCCGGCGACGAGGGCAGCATCTCCAGGTAGGCAAATGGGCCCGAGTCCTCAAAGCATCCGAGCTCACCGTAGCAAACACGCTTCACCGCCCGCTTGGCCCGGCCATGCAGCGATTGGCGCTGCTGTTGCTGCCGCTCGTGCGCCAGCAGGGAGGCGTGCACCGCCTCCGAGAGCTCCGTAAAGTTTGCATAAGTTAATGGTGTGGGCGTGGCCGCTGCAAACAGACAAACATATGATTAATCGAGTTTCTGCATTAATTGAATTTTGAATTGCTTATGAATCACTTGTAAAGGTTCTTAAATAGAAGACTTTGCATTCTGCGCACGTGCGTCCAAAAAAATCATTCACAATACGCAGAAAATATAAACAGCCATAAAATCACAATATATGGAAAATAATGAGCTATATCGATAAACTGGGAAGTAAATGCGCTCGTGGGTCGAGGGTTCCCTATTCCTAAGGCTTGTTCCGAACTTATTATTAATCAGCTTAGCTAAACATTTGTAAGAAATATCTTCGATATTAAGTTATAATTATAAGTCTATCTGAGGAGAAGAGTCCACTTGTAGAGCGAAAGATAGAGGTAGCTATTGTTCCCGTTTGTATCTCTAGATATAGAGCTCATCTTACGTTGATTTAGAAATATAGAGGAAGAAACTTGTTCATACTTCTTCTTATAACTGCATTATTCTTGAGGCAAATATTTAGTAAGTAAGCAAATTATGTACAYAAATAAATAACTAAAATTATGTTTTTAGGTTTAAAGCGTATTTAATTATAATCGTACTTAATAAGTCTAAGCACATTTAAAAATTTATTGTCTACAGCTTTCAAATTGAAATGGGAGATCTGTAATTGCGTTTTGTCAAAGCCTATTAAAAAAAAGTTAATAAAAATAATGAGAAAAAAATAAAAACAAAAAACTTTTTGAAATTTCTTTAATGGCAGACGTGAAAAATTGTTTCCATATTTCGTTTTCAGACACTACGCCATAATTGGGAACGTGCAGATGACATAACCCCAGCACAAGTCAGCCAAAATACCTATGTATATGTATATACAGCCATAGAGTCACATAGGCGTATGTATATGGACGTTAGCTGAAATTACCGAAGCGTGATTGCGTTTTTAAAGCGCCTGGAAACCAAAAGGGAGAAGCGTCTAAGAGGAGCTACAAATCAAAACAGAAATAAAACTGTCCACGCCACGACTCATGCCACACGCGTTGCCAAATGGCAATAAATATGCATACGATAGTCATCTGGTAATGGGCCAGACGATCGAGAATCTCAAAATGATGGAGTGCCAAAGTGTTTCCAAACTGGGCAATCAGGAAGAGATCGAATGAGCAAAGCTTAGATTTGCAGAGAGGGTAGAATATTTTGAGACCAGACTAGACTAGAGACCAGATTAGATTGTATCCAAAACGAATGTATTCATATAATATATATAACACACAGATGACAAGTCTATGGCTAATGCACCCGTTGAGCCACATTAGCGCCAAGCGCACTTCATCAATCAGCTAAACGCGACTTGTAGCACTTATGCAACCAAATGCATCCAAGTTTTTAGCGACAATGGCAAAGCACTTTACGCTCATGTCCCATGCGACAGGTGCTTTAAAATAATCGTTGAAACATTTCGCGCACTTACAAGCGGAACTTATGGCCCGGCGCAAAAAGCAATTACGAAAAATAATCTTTGGAAAAGCTGAGAAAAGAAGAAGTTGAGATGGAAGTAGGAATAGAGAGAGAAATATAGACGAGAGTGGAGGGGGAAATGGAGATTGAGTAGAGAGATACATATAGCTAAAGATGGAGATAGTAATGCAGATGGAAATTGAAGTAAGAATGAAGAGATGAAAACAGGTGATGAAGGAGAGAGTAATAGATGGAGATAGATATATGAAGAGAAAAAGGCAATAATAGGATTATTAGTAGTATTAAGAGGATAGCGGCAAAGATAGCTCTATCTCATTAGTGGTATACATAGCGAAAATGGTCTTATGAATAGAAACGGGTATAGTTATATATATAGAGATCAATAAAATGTGAAATTTGAATAGCAAAAGTAAGTGGAATTTCGATTGATAATGTAACTTAAATAGGGCTAGAGATAGGTATATGGATAGGAACAAGGATAAAGATAGCGACAGCGACTGGGATACGGACTGGGATAGTTATAGGAATAGGAATAAGGAGTTGGACTATGATTTGGAGTAAGAGTAATATAGAGTAATAAAGGGATAAGGATAACAATGAAGTGAGATATTGAGGCAGTGATTGGGAATGGAATTGAGATAGATAAAGGGACAGACGGTGCGAAATGGGATAGAGAATGTGATAGGATACGATACTGATTGGATAGAGATTAAGATACTAATTGGGATATGGTTTAGTAAAGAAAGAAAAACTGTAGATATATGTATAAGTATAGAAATATGCATAGTTATAGCAAATATGGTTTATATGTTGGTAATTTTAGGTATTAATAAAAACAGTTTTAAAGATCCAATGAAATTCATTCATCAACGTATTTATATCAATGTACACATATTCATCTATATAACATATATATGTATATAGTGTTAAGGTGAATATAGATATGTATATATATTGTGTCTGCAAACGATATATATATTGTTTTTTGGTGCGCTTTGTGACTTTCGTTATTTTTTTCCATTTGTTTTCATTTGCCATTTAAAGTTTTGTCAGTTTTTGGCATTGCAATCGCTTCTTCGTCTTGTTGACTGTTTCCGATTACATGTGTGCACACTCTGTGAATGCGAGTGAGACTACATGAGTGTGTGTGAGTGTAAGTGTGTGCGAGTGTAAGTGTGCGGTGTTTATGGCGATTGTGCAATCTGTGAAGTGTTTTGCGCGTCGCTCAATGGCAAAAATCGTCAAGTGAAACTCGTCGGGGGCCAAACGAGTCGAAAGACACCCACAGAGAGACGCACTAGATGCGCACTCCACCCAAAAAGCTCGCCCGCCGGCCTTCAGTGGCCAGGGGGAAGGAAGGTGGGCGTGCCGCCTACGCACGAGAGATAAGTTGAAAAACTGAAAGCAGCCTCCATGAAGGCAAATTCAATTTAGCACACAATAAATCAATTAGCAGAAGAGCTATGCGTGTGCGTGTGTGTGTGAGTGTGTGTGTCTGGCTCAATTAGTTAATTGATCTGGTTTCTACTTACCACTAGTTCCAGTGTCAAGCAGCAGCAGCAGCGACAGCGCTAGGCAAATGTGTTGCATGTTGTTGTTGTTGTCGTTGTAGTTGCAATTGTTGCTGTCGCTAAAGATTATCCAATAACGCGCGCACAGTGTCAATTAGCATTGAGAGCTCTAGACGAGCGACACTCTCCGCCAGCTCGCTCTGCCTCTCTCTCTCTCTCTCTCTCACCCTCTCTCTCCCTCTCTCGGTCGTTCTCTTTCCCTAGCTATGTGCTGCTGTTTGGTTTTATTGTCGCTCAGCCCAACTACAATTGCATTGCTCGCGTTGCTATTGTGTTGGTCTACGATTTCGGCTGCTGGCGCTTCTTCTTCTGCTTTGCTGGGGCTTATGTTTTTATTTCGGTGTTATGTCTCTTTCGCTTTGGTAATAGCAATACACCGTAAACAAATTCACTTTCACTTATTTGTGAACCTGTGGCAGTCGCAGCAGCAACTGTTGCTGCGCTCGTGACTGGTTGCTGGTCGCGCTGGCGACTGGTTCCTGGCCACGGCCAATGGCGTCTGCAGCGGCGTCTGCGTCTCTCTGACTCACTGACTGACTGACTGAGCAGCCGTTGCAGATGTTGCCGATGTTGCCAATCTTGTTGCGGATTGTTGCTGGCGGGGGACGGTTGGCGGGGGAACGTGCGTGCCCGCTCTATGAACCGCGTCTGGGGCGTCGGTGGCGATGGCGTTGACTCTGCTGTTTGATTGAATTATGTGGCAGACGCAGCGGCAATAGCAGCAACAGCATGCGACAGCACCAACAGTTGCTGTTGTTGTCGCAGCTTTCACTTGACCAACAGCAGCAGCTCCAATTTGCGACAGTTGCTCACGCTGTGATTGATGCTGATTGCCGTTGATTGATTGCTTATGAGCTTTGCTTTGTGTGGCCTGCAATTACAGGAAGCAACAACAATTATCAATTGCATGTTTAGCTAAATAAGTGATGTTGTTGTTGTTGCTGCTGCTGTTGTTGTTGTTGTTGTTGTTGCTCTCGTCGTCTGGCTGTCTGCATATTGTATAATAACCCGGTTCGTTGACAGGATGTGCGTTAAGCGTTTTGGGCCAATGACCTTATTGACTTTAGCTTCACTGATTCTCCAGCTAACCAAGTGACACTAACGGCAACAACAGCAACAACAACAACAACAATAGCTAAACAAACAATAAAAGTAACTATAGCTAAAAGCCAAACATTGCTAACAAGCGCAGGCACACGCACACACAGATCTTACACTCTGCTACAAGATAATATATACTATATATAAGGTGTATGTAAATTATAAGAAACTTATGTTTTATTTCTCTCTCATTATCTCTCTCTCTCCCTCTCTCTCTTTTTCCCTCCCTCTCTCTCTCTCTCTCTCTCTCTGTGTGTGTGTGCTTCATACCCTCTCTTTCATAATCTATATCTATATTCCTAACCTTTTATCTTGCTCTCTATCCTTTTATCTACGTTCTCTCTCTCTCTCTCTCACACACSCTCTCTATCTCTCTCTCTCTCTCTCTCTCTCTCTCTCTCTCTTTCTGGGTCTCTTTGATTTCTAGCTTCTAGTCCAAATTGTAGCTCCAGGTCATATTTCTATTATAATTACCCTACATTTCAATTTAACTATTAGACTCTCCAGATGACTGCTAGATATGGCAACACTTCTAATATAGTTGAGTCGCATTGCACAGTTTTTAACAATATCATAAATACTAGACACCAAATTAACTTTATAATTGAAGATGTAGAAATAGAATTGTATCTAATTACAATAAATATCTCTTGAAACCTAATAAAACTCAGACTTGCATCCATTCCAAAATTCATTCATTCAAAATTTTAATATGTTCTTTATCTAAATCAATTTTGAAGGCCTCAATTTTTTGTTTAAGAAGACCTATCCATCATGCAAAAATAAGACAAAAATATTATAGGGTTATTAAAATACAACTTATTTTCATCCGAAATAATTTTCACAATATCAGAAACTTAAATTACCTTTGATCATTTCATATCTTTGTTTTGAGAATGATATTTAAATATTTTGTTGCACAGTGTAATTCAGTGTGTTAAACGTTAAACATTGGAAGTTGAATGTGCACATTTGGGTCAACAGCAGACGGCAGTCAAAACATAAAAAAAAAACTACAACAACAACAGGTTTAAAAAAACACCTCAGAAAATCAACTCTTGTCATCAAGTTTTTTATATTCATTTTTTTTTTTTTTTTTTTTTTTTTTTTTTGGTTTTTTTTTTTTTCTATAGCTAATTTTCAAAGAAGAAACTTGACATGAGTCAACTATGCTGTGCTGGAGACTGTGACTGAAACTGGGTGCCATCTAACGAAAGTGAAAATCTTTGGAGAGTCGTAAAGAGCAGCAGCCGCAGATGATTTTAACGCCGAGCCGCAATATTGGGAGCAGCAACATTGAAAACTGTATTTTGATAGATTTATTGATGTATTGACGGCGCTTCACTTTCATTGGCGCTGTGACTTATCAATTAGCATCCATGTCGAAACATTAGGCAAGCCCCACAACCGTTGTCACACTCAGGCAAATAAACGTTGCGTTTACTAACTTTATTTACAGCTCAAATGCTATGAACTTGAGTTTACCTAGTGACGTTTGTTTTTTTTTTTTTTTTTTTTTTTTTTTTTTTTTTTGTAAAAAAAAGACTTGAGTACAATGCCTGTATATTATCAGTTTTAAAAATGTATGTATTATATTGTAGATGACATAGACGAAAAGTGAGGGAGCAAAAGTTACTGACAAGATAGCAAAAAGTAGGAACGAACCACTTCGATGCTCTGCGACTGATCAGCGACAGTATCTTACGAGTAACTACTTCTTTTATAGTCAGCTTAGATTCTTCAGCTTAGCCTGAAGATTAAGTGTAACAAAACTCCTTATTAACTTCAATACATACATTTAGTTCAAAGTTCCATTCAGGACTGTAGAGCGAACCAATTCTTCTCTTCGGTTGATAGATTTTATGAGCTAGATTTAAATAACATGCATAGCGCACAATATGCTAGAGTAAAGTTAACATTCTTTCGTTAACATGCTCTAATGTTAACTGGTACCGCTAGCATACCAGGGAGTCTAAAGCAGACTTCAGTCAAAAAGTTAACATGTTCAAGCTATGTTCTTTCATTTACTCTAGCTTTATACTGCTAACAGTGACATAACATAGCTGTTAATATATTAGTAAAACATTCAAAACCAGTTCAAATATCAAGCAGTGCATTTCCGGGTCATTAACATGCCAAAGTTGATATAAAATAGCTCTTAACATTATAATTAATAAAATGTTATTCATAAAATGTTAATAGCTTGTCAGCCTAGACAATAATAATGGAACAAAACCCGACTTTAGTCTTATAAAATATTTTAAGACTGCTAAGACACGCTGGCTAGGCAGAGTTGTACGGTCTGCGAAGCTTTTGCAGTTCATTCACAGTGAAGACAATTGAAATTGTTCGACGGATCCATCAATCAATGGCAACACTTGTGGCCACCCACAAGATGTTGTGGAAAGGCGGCACTAACGAAGCGTTAAGAGCACAGCTAAAGGGATGAAGAGAAACTGGGAGAGTGGGAGAAAGAGAAAGAGATCAATGCATTTGTCGCGCTGGGAAAGCTAAAGCCACAGACAAGACGAATGGGCAAAATGGAAAGTATCTGACTATAATGCTTCTAAAGCCGCTTTCGCACGACTTCTACTTAAGATGTCTGTTTCAACCTCCGTCCGTCTATCTGTCTGTCAGCTAGTTCACTCATCAGTCACTTTCAAATGGAGATTAACCCAATTTGGGTGCCGCGTCCGCTTTCAAGCAGTGCCAGCTGCCAGCCGCCAATTGCCACTTGCCACTTGCCTCCACTCATTTTCGCGTTTGCGACTAATTCTGCTCATTAAATACAATTCTGCTTCTACATATATAAACATATACACATATATATATAGTCGCTCGTACAGAACTGAGCAGCTCGTCCCTTCTCAAAGAGAAAACAAAACTGATGCCGCTAATCGAACCATGCCAGAAGAAAAGTGCAATGCCAAGAAATGAAAATTCTAGTTGAGCAGTATTTTATATACATGTATATATTCATATAGATAATCGAAAACTGTTTAGCTACAAATACAATAGTAAAAGCTAAGCTATGAAATCATGCCAAAAATAATTTGAAAACGACCTCACAGAAATAAGTATACCATATTTATTTACTTAGTAATCATTAATAGGAATGAAGGGCCTTCGACTTAAATATACCATATATGTTTTTCAATTACAGCATCGAACGATCTCGATCTAAAATACTAAATACTAAAATACCAAGGAAATCATTTAATAATTTCTTAGCACTTTTCAACTTAAGCACCATCATATATCATTTAGCTATCTACTATATTTATCAGAGTAGCATTTAAAGTAGGTCTTGTAAGCGACGCTCGCTTTCCCTGAGCTCCTCCTAGTTGTGAAAGAAAAGCATTTCAAAATTGAAATTCAAGGCACTCGAACGTTGTTGTCATATTTATAAATCCTATTTCAGCGCTAGAAAGTCGCAAGTTGCTTTGAAGAGTTATGATCTAGAGATATGATAAGATATATGATTTCACTTCTTACACGTAAAAATCAATTAACAATTTCCTTAAAGCTTTTGTCAGAAATAATCAGGGAAACAGACTCCACAAACTTGACAAGATTTGTAAGCGAATCGCCGAGAGAGGTTCAAGTGATAGTATGAAGGAGAGAAATAGAGAGGGAGAAAGAGGTGTAGAGAGATGCGCAGCTGTTCAGTAAAAGCCTATAGTGGATGATTTCAGATACCGGAATGAAAAACAAGATTCGTCTTGAGCTTACCAAACACCAAATGCTGCTAAATACCTATTGTAAGCCGGCTTTTCAATTCCCATTCTCGGTCGCCCTTTTATGTATATAAGGAAAGTATTATAACATCATATTAACAGTCCAATGTTATATATGTTTACACATATCATTATACTCATTAGTCAAGTGCAAATGGTTCATTCGTCTTTGTTCAATGTCTTTCGGCTTATTCACACAAATGTAAAGCATTTGATATGCTATTCAAGTTTACACGAACAGGCATGTTATATAACTTGAATCAAGTTAGTTTTCAGTCAGACTGAACGCCAAACAGTTACTTAAATATTGAATATTGTATCAGCAGCTGAATACCACTGAATACCAAGCCGATTCGGACTCTGCAACTCGAAATGCCAAGGCAGTGGCAAAGAGGGGTGCTTAGCTTACTTGTGTGTGTATATATTTACTCGTGTCTGTCCAATATTTGGAATGCGCCCACTGGGGGGCTTGGCTGATCGGAAATTATATTATGCAGTTTTAAAGCTTTTGGAATGCCAAAAATGTAGCAAGTGAACTAGCCCCATAAATCATCTACAGATACAGTATTTTTAAGCTATAAAATATAGAATATATTATATGCATATATCAAATTATGTTACCGTTAGCGACATGCAGAGAGAGGCTTAACTACCAGCGCAGATGTAGAGGCATGGGCAGTTGATTAATAATCGATATCTAGCAAAAAAAAGAACTTGGCATAAATATAGACTTGCTTTGATGTTACAGATTTATATATAAGTTCGCTTCACAGCAATTTGGTCGGCTTTCATTCTAATTAAATGCTTTTACAACACCGTCTCGCAACGATTTCAAGCTGTGTGTGCTATTTCACAATGTGTTTTTGTGGAATGCCCATTTCCAGACGCCTTCTCGTCGTAAACAGGCAATCACAACGAGCCCCTGCACAAATGGACTACGTTGGGCAATCGCTATCTATGCGTCTCCCTCTCCCCCTCACGAAGTGAGAATTAGAGGATACAAACGAGAAATGAGAAGCTTGCAGTCGGACAAGCTCTCAGCTGCACACAGAAACCACTGGAACAGTAGGAGGCACTCACGAACGGAATTGGGAAACTTAGAAAACTAGTATATACATATATCATGTATATATCCAGCTCATAGATATTGCTAATAAAGCTGGCAAGTCAACACCAGCTGCCGATTTGGCAAGATTTACTCAAGCATTTGATACACCTTCTTGGCCAATTTATATGGCGAATCGGAAAACAATGCTTCAGCTTTGTGTCCAAGTTTTGGGCAATCGTTTTTGATTGATTTATCTAGCCAAGTGTGCGTGCGTGTGTGTATGTGTGYGTGTGCCATTTAAATGGCAGCAATCGCTTGCAATACGAAAGACTTAGGCAACGAACTTGCAGTCGCTGGCGCGCAGCCAAAAAAAAAAAAATATATACGAAAAATGTTCAAATTTCCTTAGCCAATTTTCGCATGACAGCCGCAGCAGCAGCAGCAGCAGCAGCAGCGGCAAGTCGCCTATATAGTTTCCTGTTTGTTACGAGGGGCCAGTAAAAAATCAAAAAAAAAAAAAAAAGTAAACAAAAAAAATTAGTAGATTAAAGGGAGGCAGTCAACGAGCGCTGGACAGCAACAACAACAAAAAATCAGCAGCGCATGAAGTTTCCGCCCGTTATATTAGTAGTAGCTGTTGTTGTTGCTGTTTGTTGTTGTTAGCTCTTTTTGCTCTATACAATTAGGTGCTTCTAATATTAGTTATTGTTGTCGCTGCTTTGGCGTTTTTCACAAGAATTTCCACAACGCTCATTGAGCATGCAACGCATGCAACCAAGAAGAAGAAGCAGTACAAGAAGAAGAAGAAGAAGCAGTCGAAGAAGTAAAGTTAGCCCAAAAGACAATGCGCCATAAATCAAACGTTGTTGGCTGTGTAAAACCCAGCCAACGGTAAAATGCAATATGACTACAACAACAACAACAACAGCAGCAATGGCTATAACAATTACAGCAGCAATGGCAAACGACACACTTTTTTTTATTATTTTTAGGCTGGGGGCCCACATAAGCCTGGCTGCACAGGCCCCCAAACAGTCGTGGCCCATTTGCTGCTCGAAATGCTGGGCTCAGGCCCAGAGCACTCCAAGAGCAAGAGAGAGGAGGAGAGCGAGAGAGATGCAAGAGATCAAAGAACTGAGAACAGGTCAAGTGGGCAACAAGAAAGCGTGGGCTGACATGCGACTGCCAGCCGAGTAATCCATGCGAACAGCTGTGTTCATCAAAATAGAAGCGCTTTGATACTTCTCTTTATCACTAGAATATAAAATATTGCACATACAATCAATTTCCGTAAGCTAAATATAACTATATATAATCAATATACTTGCATGTATAACCCACTACATACAGCCATTTAGTATTATTTCTTCGAATGTTCCTTTCTAAAGAAATAGCAAAAAATCCAATGAAATAAATTCCACTATTTTCTCAACAAGATTATTTCATAGTGGCAATCTATTCCAAGCAAGGAATGGACTCTTTTGAGTGCTTCTATTTATATGAGGTTAACTATAGTGTATATCATAAGATCGTATACCCACAATAAGGTATGTATATTAGACTCTTAACAATTAAATACATTAATTTGTATTCCAATTGTAATTAATCAGGATTCAATGCAATTCGAAGCATTATTCTTGCTACATATATAAATTTGGCTATAAAAATAGATTTTTCATGTCCAGCTAGCTTTTCCTCACAGATCTTGAGACAACATTTCACAGTTCGGGAGCTAAGCCGGTAGCTGGTGCTCGCCTGGAGATCAACTCGGTCGATGACTTGACAAACATTTGCAAGAGCATTTCAGCTTTCGTGTTCTCATGACCCAATTCAACATGTACTCAACATGTTAGCTTAGATTCATCCAATTACACATCGCATTGTCTCATGTTGCGTTGCGTTGCGCTGTCTCTGKTTGCCTAAGCGTAAGATAAACCACGGCTGATAACGTGTTGACACCGTCTAACCACTTGCCCCACCGACCCCAATACTCAATCTCAGTCTCCCATTACAGAGCATTAGAACAATCATGTATATTTWTGTATATATTTATTTATATAATTGTATAATGCAAAATAATTGTTCAGTTCATTTAAAAAGTAGAAAAGAAAAAAAAAACAAAAACATTTCATAGAAAGCTTAAGGGAAACAGAGAAAACTTGAAGAGAGAAAAAATCCAAGGCGGATGTTTGAGCTGAAGTAGTTTTCAAAATAATTCTCAAGCGATTAAGGAAGTAAAAGTTAAGCATACAAAATGGAACTGGAAGAAAAATGATAAATGCTATAGATATAAGAATTAATGTCGGCTATTGTGATTGATTAAATAAATACGTTCTAGTTTCTTCGCATGTCTAGGTGGATTCGGTATTACAATGACCTCTAATATCAACTTATTAGATGTTTAAGAAAAAGATCTAAGGCGATCAAAATATCATTTAGCTACTTCTCTGATATATAATATATACTTACTAAAATATAATACTTCATTAGAGATATGATGATATTCAATATGAACTATAGATACGAATTGGAATTAGCAAAATACCATTAGGGTACCTTTCTAGAATTTTATACTTCCTTATATGAACTGATCAAGCTATTCAAATATCAATGGGATACACCTCTAGAATATGGACCTTTTGAGCTTTCAAAATTTTATTAAAATACTTTTTTAGAGTTCCGCTCTTCCTCAAATATTTTTAGATCTGAAGTAATAAAGCTAGCAAAATATCATTAGGATACCTCTCTAAAACTTTTAACTTATCAACTTCTATTTTTCCAAATATCATTAAGATATTCCTACCATCCTTGACTTTTAACTAATAGATTTGTATTTTTAATAACTAAAATGGAGATTTGATCAAGCTTTGTAGAGTATCATATATCTTTAAGATACTTCTCTAGAGGTCCATACTTTAAGCGCGTATATATCTTTAAGACATCTCTCTAGAACAAGGATAAATTGAGTTTTAAGATTTCCAAATATTATATTAAAGAYTTGTCACTAGAAATCCTATGTGCTCTGCCTCAATGAACTAATTTAAGCTTCCATAATATGATATATATAAAGAAGATGTACTCAGAACTTGTCGTCTTACATTTGTTAAAACTTATTTCTTTGGCAAATTGCATAATATTTTGTTGAACAATTTAATACGATATGTGGGCATACAAAATACGGAATTACCATTTGAATTTCCTTAGTTCCAATGCTTGAGCCTTGTAATTCTCGTTAAATTCATGCATTAACGAGACAATTTTCAAGTGAAAATAAAATAGTTTGAAAGTTTTGTGTGAGTGATTTTTCCAGTGCTTGTTGCGCCCAATTGACTGACGACCTTGCTTATGTCAAAAGTCACAGCCACAACAACAGCAACAAAACCCACATAAGCGACATAAAGTCTCAATCATTGGCAGTTTACAGCACGAAAATGATGTTAAGTCGTGTTATTCCAAAAGCGACAACCACAATAATGGGTTTAACTAAACTTAAAATGTTTTTTTTTTTTTTTTTTTTGCTTCTTCTTCTTTTGTGAGTGGCAATGAAGGAATTTATGCACTTTAATTGAAAACAATTTAAAAAATAAAAAAATAAAGGCATGCATGCATAGCTAAATACCCTGTAGGCAGGCGTAATCAAACTCCAGCTAGAGATGTAGCTGTAACAAGTTTTTATATAACGGTAGATCTATTCTTCAATATACAGATAACCTCTAGTCGATCTATTATACATATTAGTTAAAGGTATATTTAAATATATATATCATGTATCTGAAAAGAATTTCATATGAAACTCTAGCTCATTTTTCATATAGAACACAGGGTAACTGTCCGTTGAGCATACTGAGAGAAAAGCTGCTACTAGTTTTGTGCACACTAGTGTGTGTGCACTTTGGTTGATTTAGACTTAAAGCCATGAATTGGCTGCTACTGTTTGTCTCTTTGGTCGCTCGCTCTGCAATTCGTGTCAATGTCAGCATGATTTATTTTTTTTTTTTTTTCATTTTCTTATTATTAGTTATATTAATTTGTTAAAAATATTTAATGTTGTTGTTGTTGTTGGCTGCATGCTGCAGGCTGCAGGCTGTCAGCAAACTAGTTTCAAGCCTCAGCCACAACAACAGCAAATATGCATAATATCAATATCGGAGAGCAACTGCTGCAGCGAGCAAAAGACTTAAGCGACAAACTTGAACGGCAGGTGCACAAAATGAAATGAAAAAAAAAAAAAAAAAAAAAAAACATAAATTAGCCATAAAAAATGTAATTAAAATACTAGAGCCACCAAAAAGCTGTTTAAGCTATAATATATGAATAACAACAAATGTAAGTTCAGTTTTTCTTCTTCTTGCTATTGTAATTTGTGATAAGCAACAGATGCCAAAACGACATGAGACGAGGCAGCGGCGGCGGCGTCGGCGTTGGCTGTGGCTGCTGCTTCTGCCGTTGCCGTTGCTGTTGCTGCTTCTGCTTTGGGGTCCGGGCTCGATTTACAGTTTCACTCGAAGCGCGTGAAAGTTGCGCTTCGCAACAACAACAACAACAATACACACAAAGACAGACAATTGAAAGACAAAGGTACCCAAAAGGGCTTGCCAAAGCCAAAGCTGGAAGCCGCAATCGCCGCCGCCGCCGCCGCCGCCGCCGCCCGCCGTAGTCGCAGCCAAAAATGCAAGCAAAACAAAATTAAAACAAAAACAAAAAGCACAGAAAAAAAAAAGCATAAACAAACACACAGCAACTGCAATTACGCACTTTTTACTCGTATTATTGTTAAATTTGTTGTATTTTTTCTTTACTCTTTTTCAAACTTGCGCAAAGCATAAACCGAAAAAAAAGGCAGACACAAAAAATATCTTCAGATGCAGCGCGTCAGGCGCAGCCGCTGCAAATTAACCGCTGCGAAAACGAAACGAAGCGAACTCAAAGCGAACTGCAAAAACACGAACCGCTTGGCGTCGCGGCTGAAGATCAACTGAAACGACGCAGCGCAGCCAAGCCACACGAAGCCCCCAATCCATCGGCCCGARCAAATCAAAGCAGCGAGCTGTCTGTCGCCTGCAGTGCTGTCATAATTTTTCGAGCAAATAGAGCCAGATTGGCAAAAAAAAGAAGCTAAAAGAAGCTAAATTCAGGAAAAAATAAGCCAAAATAAAAGCTGGGTTTAAAAAACACTATTTTCTTAATTAAATTCATTTATGATTATTCATTTGTTTTTAATTGTTTGATTCCTTCAACTATATCTCCACTTTCAAGAGAAATATTCAAATCAGGAACGTCGAAATCATCACTCCACTCTCAACAGAGACGTATTTAATAACGACACCTAAGACCATTAACGTAGAAATTATAGATATATGTATATGCATATACATATATACAAATTATAAAGTATTCAATCTTTTAAAGAGAGGTCAGGTGTTTAATAAATAATTGTTATTTACCAAGCCGCTTTGTCACTTGATTTGTCCAAAACCAAAATAAATTTAACGCTTCCAATCTTATTTCTTCCAGAAAATGAGGAGCCAACGAATGTTTAATTATGTTGTACATTTAGTACGGTGTAGTTTAAATCGCTAAACGCTCATGCAGTCGCATAATTTTGTTTGGCGGAGAGTACCTAGGTTGTTGATGAGAGCAATTAATGTGTGATTTGCCACATAGAGGAAAAGTGCTGTTGGTTGTTGCTGTGGTTTTTGTTGGAGTTTGCCCAAAATCAATTTTTTCTTTCTGTGCCCATCCAATTCGTGCACGTTAGTGTTTTTTTGTTGACACACGAGACCTGTTGCTCATACCACGAAATGATTTCTATAGATTGTATGATATAAAATCATGTATCGATACTTGTATTCATGATTTTTTGTGTTGACAGCGATAAGAACAAAATAAATCAAAATAAGTAAATGAAAATTAAATAAAGCTAAAATAGAGCTAAATTAATTTTTTTAAAGCCAGAATTCCCGCAACCCGCCGTTTTCAAATTTTTCCCGCATTGGGACTTCAAATAAAGCCAGATCTGACGGGAAAAAAGCTAAAATGACACCCCTG